GAAACTAAATTTTAATTGTCAGCAAAAAATTTGTTTTGAAGAACATCAGTTTTCGTCTCAGTAGTACTTTAAGTTTCTGGCATTTACTGTTTGAAAATTCGTAAATGAAATTGCTCTTTCATTCTTGTAAAGAGGCTAGGTATTACACGTCTCTATTTTTAAAATCTAAATCATGAAGTCAAATTAATTTGAATGGTATTGAAGCTTCATTCTATACAAGAACACTTTACCAAAGTATAATAATATTTTTTTGCTGTTTTTCTAATACAAATGTTTTTCTTTAATTAAAAGCTAAGATACAAAAAGTGCCAGTCTGGTTTAACCTCGAGTCGACACATCCATTGAGATAGAGCTCTACTGGCTATAAGCCACTGAATAAGCTTAAAAAATGAAACTTCCTCTTTTAGCTCGCAGCTCTCAGACAAAGCAACTCGGAAAAGCTCCAGATTAACAAGCTTTTCGCTTTGTTGCTTAATCGCTGTAGTCCTCAGTTAATGTAGCAACTATAGACAAATCTCCCAGTACGTTGAGAGAACACGAACCAAACGCAATTCGATTACTACTAATAGGTAATAAGATCCAGTTGTTGGTTGATCATTACCCAGGACACTCAGGGGCAAATAATCAGTCGAAAGGAAAGATGGTTCGACGCGAAAGATGCTTCACGGGCATTCGGGTCGAACCAAGACTTTAGTTTTCCTCTCCTCGATTATTTTCTTTCCTCCTGGGTCTCCGAGGATGGTTACCTTGAGAAATGACTTGTCGTAAACACATTACAATGAAACTTCCAATGACGAGATGAATTCGAAACATCTTTATGCTGATCATTCCAAAGCGATCTGAGAGAACTTTATAACAAGTGATTAACTAAACGATTCAGCTTCGCTTTGCCCATCAACGGTAATATTTTTCATTCTTATGGATTATGCAAACAATCACAATTTCAATCGCAGATATCTTTCATTTTGTTTCTAGAATATAATGTAACATAAATTAATGTCACTCTAACCCGCTGCAAGCAAATACATCATTCGTTCTGACCCTCTTTGACCCTTAGAGGAATGTTTTGTATTAGTTCGTTTATCGCGGACTGTCGAGTCACATTTCTTCGTTAAATGTTTATTTTCTTTTCCCTTTTTTCACTTGGACAGTATACTTTTAAAACCTTCAGCGCGTTTATCGGTTGAAAACATGTCAGTTAATACCAAAGCCTACAAAAAGCATTCGCCTTACAGGTTCGTAATATTTGGTTCATCTTTTATGGACTTGATGTACCGTTAGAATTTTAAGATTTGACGCGCCATAAATTGAAAGAGCTCGACTTAATCTCTCAAAACTCCCGATAAAAAAACGAAAGTTCCTATTTTCTTTGCTTCAGGGAAATAGAAGGTGCGAACTGACTGTGAATTTCATTGGAATTTTATCGTTACCCTCACTCACTCACTCACTCACTCACTCACTCACTCATGTACCTATCTCAACAACACATGTGGAATCGCCTCCTGTAGGAGGCAGTAGCTACAAAAATGAAAGGTAATATAAACGATAACTAACGTTAAAAGGAAAGTACGGTCTAGAAAAAGTGTACCTTTATCAAAAGTTCCTTACTGGCATTGTCCTAACTGGCTATTCATTTGAGCTAAAAGGGTTTTAGTTGCGAACAATTAATTTCAAAGATCGGCATTTTCAACTTGAAATCCGCTGTCTTTGTTATGACGAAAATATGACGTAGCAATAGGCAAACTCGCTTAATTATATCCATCCTGAGGTGGATGGAAACAAGGAAAATAGTGTCGAGGAGAGCGCTACTGACACCATAAAGCTTTGGAACATCATGTGCGAATGATAACGGCTCGAGCAATACTGATGGCCGTTCACATTTATCATCTATCTCTATAATGTTTAACATTATCAGCAATTCCTTTAAAGACTTGCTTTCTTGATAAACGTGCTCAGGTACCAAAGTTCGGAGTAGGTCCAGACAACACCATACTAAGTCCTTCTGTTATTTTATCTTGAGTAGGGGGACCTCTATTCAGTATGCGACGCTCGGTGCTTGCTGCAGCACCACCTCTCTATATTCTCTTTTTTGTTCTTTTTTTCTTTTCTTTTTGTTTTTATCCTCTGTGTCTTTCTAGCGGGCTTGGTGAAGAGTAAATGAGATAGGAATAATTTTATCTGTGAGTTTTATTAATAACGGTTAGATACCATTAGTTGTTTTCAAAGTAATCTTTTATTGTAACACAACGATATCATACATATCCTAATACAAAGTTTAACACTTGCCTCTTGTTTGTACAGTGTTCAACTAGACCATTTGCTTAAAATTAAAATGAATATCAAAAATTGTCGACGATCTTCTTCTAATTTATCAATTTCATGAGGTTTAAATCCCAGGAGTTGTTGAGCGTAATCTCGCCACTTGCCATCGGAAACTTTTCCTACTCAATCGTCTACTTCCTCGTGGTCTTCTATAGTAACAACAACAATTATTTATCACTATAATATTCCATCATTTTCTATTGCATCTAATTCTCGTTTGGATACTCCTATTCTTGTGGCTAATTTTCTGAATAGCGTATTTGCCGATTTGTACGGCAATGTGTAGATGTTGCTCAGGAGTGAGTTCCCATGCTCTTACAAAGGAAAAGAAACCCTGTTTAAATGAGTGCTTTAAATTTTACACAGGTCCATACATGTTCTTCTCAGTGTGGGTTCTATAAACATTAACTGAAGTCTCGTTCTCGTTCTATTAATCCTAGACGCCTTCCTAACTTTTTCCAACTGTAATCCCGCACGAGGAGTGCATCATCTATTAAAAGAAATATTAAAACTCGACATTCTCAAGTTTATCCAATTGTTCTTCGGATAATCCTGATAATCGTCCCACTATTCTCCATTCTTCTTCACTACTATAGTGACGGGGCATCATCTTAAAACGAAACAACTACATATTAGCCAGGAGAATGGCTTTTGTTTGCTTTGTAGGTCGAAACCTCCTCCATTGAAAGAGATTACAGTTCCTCCTGTTACAACGCAAATACAGCTTGCCCTTAGATTTCTCAGATTGACTCCTCATAGATAAGGTAGGACGATATCCACATTCACAGATCATGTTTTGAATCACATCTCTTGTAAAGAATGCATTGCCTTGCTGTCTACCATTATAATAGTAGACTTCATATTTCTTCTCTGGGCAAAAGATAACACAATTTTGTGGACATCTCCAAAACACATCATAGGTGTCTTCCTTCTTTGATTTCAATTCATTCTTGACCCTTTGTAGCTTTTCTAGTTCTGCTTGAGGTTGATCATAAAAAAAAAAAAAAAAACACTGTTCCAGCAATCTAATCTGCTTGTAATAACAGCAGTGATCAGGGTATCTGAGTAGCTGCGCAAAATTTTTTCCTAACTCACCAGATGTTACAACTGAACCATTACATTTTTCATATCAGTATTCATTAATAATTTGTCATCGATAAAAAAAAAGCCGTACATGTATCAGTGGGTCTGAGAGGAGATGATCTCTCCACATGGAGAGCTTTCCACATGTGATCGAAGAGATGTTTATCTGATGTTAATTTCAACGTTAAACACTTGCCGCCGGGTCCCTATTATAATGTTTTGAGGTTGATCCATGGTCAGTTGGCCAGCTTGACCTCTCACGCTCACCAGCAGTACATATAGAAGCGCTGACTATAGTTTGTAGTCAATTCCACTGGCAGATTTACTGAGAGTCAATCAGGATTACGACAGCGAGGTAAGTAAGAGTCGATCAGACTCGATCATGCAGTCAGATTCAAAGTGGTTAGAGACAATGTCGGCGTTCATCATAGCAAGCCACGATCACCGTTTAACGCTCTGTAATCTTCGTGGTGTTTTTACGATCTATCTTCTTATCTAGACCCACGAACTTTATGGAATCGTGTGCATAAACAACTGGACTTCCCTTACTATTTCAAGACAAAGCAGTATTCCCAAAGGCACTAATTTATTTTAGCTACTGTTTTCTTTATCAAAGAACTGCATGGATAATGAAGTAGGGGCTGTGCGGAAATCTTGCCCTGGTCTTCGTCACTATATTGATATTGGTGTGGGAATTAATGTAAAAAAAAAAACCTTCTTTTACTTCTGTAAGACTGCAACCTCAGTCCAGCAGCATTTGACGGACGGATTCCAACTACAATGAACTTTTGTCATCTATTCATATTTGTGACACCCTTATCACCCATTGTATCAGTGGAATGGCCTTGAAATATAATAAGCTATTATTTCCTTTCCAGGGAATGCTGCCTATCTCGACTAAAGATCAAGGCGTACTAAACGCCGATGTGTACACTATTGCATTTCAATCGCGACATTCCATTTCGCATTAACTCTCGTGATGGAAAGATGTTGTTCATCAGCTTATCAAGGTGACAGTTAGCAAGCGATCAATCTTTCACCATTGTCGCCATGTCACACTATATTAAAGAATCACGTTAAACTGGGTAAAACAGATCCTGCCTAATAAGTAAGTACCTTCGAGGTGGTAACTCTTGTCAAAACGACTTTCTACCTCACATTTCATACTCTTGCGCCAAGATCGGGAGAAACGAAAAAAGATTGGCAATATAAATTTTGTAATGGACTTAGTGACGAACTGAAGAATTACCCTTAAAAGGAGATCTACAGAGAAGATAGCTTTTATAGATTGTTACATAAAATAAACAGACGGTTTGGAGAAGAAAGGGCGTTCCCAAAGTACAGCCCCTTAAAGAGCTACATGCTTTTGGAACAAGTTATCTTAATCGTGTATTCATTGTGGGGCATGAAACTAGAAGTTGCTTACGGATATAGTCACCTCAAAGTAATTTGTGGTAAACGAGCAAAAATTGAAAATAAAGGCTTATTTTTCTGATCAGGAATTCGACAAGAAATTAACCTAAAAACAATGCAAAACGGATTGAAAATATGAGAAGGGTAATTTCCAGGAAATACCTGTAGGGAGATCAATTCTTACCAGAGCAATTTACTGTCTTCTTTGTCAAGCGCATGAACATAATTACCGCAAAGTTTAATTATCTGTTGAAATTGAACATCTGTTTTCTTGTCCAATTCGCAATAGGAGAGTATGAAACTTATAACAGCCTTATACACATATTTTGTAGAGTTAAATAGACTATTTTCTCACTCACAGTAACAAAAGGTAACAGTCACACTAGTTGTGAGATAAATTCGCTAAGGAAATAGAAAATAATCAACTACCAGCCTTATTACCAGCCTCCGCGTTAGCACGGCCTCAAATCATTTATTGAATTAACGTACACTCTAATTTTGGGAATGCCAAAGACCCTTCTTTTAGTTCTTTACGACTTGAGGCTTAAAACGTTCTTAACATGTTATTTAAGTTGTGAGGTATAGTATTTCCATAAATCTACTCGGAAATAAGAAAAATGCTTCGTACTCCCTAAGTAACCGAGTTCATTGTTCATTTTTTTACATTTCTTTTACCTATGAGCAAAATGAAGACATTCTTAACCGAATCTCAGCTTAGGTATGTTAAAAGTGGGTTCTTAAAATTTTGGTTACTCTCAGCCTCAACTTTCTTTTCAAAAAGGTTCTTATAGAAATGAAGAGTGTAATTCGCCGTCGCCCTAGGGGTTATCACCCTCTTCTTCTTTAGACTGCGAAAGTGATGCATGTGTGCTACAATTGTTGGCTGACATCTCAAGATTGCTTGCATCGGTGAGAGGCAGATATCTATTCGCGTTGTCCGAAGTCTTGGTTTGATTGAAGTTTTCGTATTCTCCGTCTTTCTCTCCCTCTATTGGCGCGTGCAGACGTGAAGAGATGTGGGAAAAAGCGCTTGAAGCTTGCACATTGTCCGGATTCGGAGCACTGTCGCTAGGCACCTATTGGAACACAAAAATAAAACAGGTATTATCAATACAAGATGTTTCCACCGATATGCAACGCACTTTGAATGAGGTCAATAACCTGTTTTCTCTCTCAGAAGATGGTAAAGACCCCTGAGGGTATTAATAGAGGTTTCATACACCCTGAGCCCAAATTCTAAGCCTTCACTTTTTTACTTTTTCACTTTTGAGGAGCTCAACAAATATCGCAATATCTGCCTGGTTAAAAAGATGTTAAAGCTAAATGAAAATGGCTAACACGCTCTGGACGGTCACCTACGCTTCACCGGCACGTTATCAAAATTCACCGACATATCACAAACACGCCACCGTCACATCAAAAATTCCTTTCATTGACAGGGTATCAACACACATCCACCAATACTTTACCAACCGTTCACCGACCATTTTTTCACCATCCTTTTTACATCAAACCTCGCAATTCCAGCCTCCCCTCGGAACACCGTTTAAATAAGATCGATAACCATAATCATCATAAACCACACAAGTCAATGGTGCATTACGCGCGTATCAAGAAAAGTGGCTCAGCTTTGATAATAATAGGCTTTGTTAGACAAGCGAAAAATGACCCTATATGGCCATTTTTGAACAATGGCGCAACAGCTTCAGAATACACGAGGGATTTGTCGAAGTTTCCGAGTAGCATACGAGCGGGAAATTTAAACGCTCGGAAAGACTATACTTTAGTTTAGAACTATGACGACTTTAGTTTAGAACTATGACAGTTTCTGGAGAAAGATTGGCTAAACTTCAGAATACCCGGCCACATTATTTCCATGTCATTGAATAAGAATAGTGTCTATTGTGTTATGCCTCATTCTTCAAAGCCTCCTGACATATGTAAATGATGTGGAGGGGTATTCTGAAGTTGCTCCGAAAGATTTATACGGAGAGAAGTGGTCTGAATGAGACACATAACGTATTTTGAATTCTCGATGTGTGCATTGCCACATTAGCGGTCAATTTTTTCCTGGGGTAGACCATTGAGAGTTGACTCGACGAGAAAAATTTACGCTACCCACTTCTACGAAGCGGCTAACTCAGCGTTTAATTTTCCCTTGGGGTACTCCGGTGACAATTTACCTGTCGTGTGCAAATATGCGCTCCATTACCAAATACTCAGTGTTCACCTCCGAACAGCCGAAGAGACAAAATCGCGCGTCAAGAGTTTAGTTTCCGACCATATTACGGCAAATTTAAAGAAACAATTTTTTTAGTTTCTGTGAAATTTATTGTTAAAATGATCATTCAACTCAGTGTCAGTGAAAGTTAAGGATATTAACCTCCACCTCGATGAAGAACTGTTGATTATTCGAAACTGAAATATTCCCGTATAAATGATTGCTCGAAAATACAAATATACCATCATCGCAAGCGGAGACAGCTCGATTTCTTCGTATTCTTCAGGCTGGTCGCTAAAAAGGAAAATAGCGATGAAACTCTCGGTGCAAATATGTCCCCCACCCATCTCCCCTACTTTGCCCTCCAGTAGAGAGAAACTAAACTGATGTTACATGTAAGTGACTCATCACATAGCCTTCGAAGAGGTTATTGTAGTAATGATTATGGAGGCAAAATTTCGGTAAAATGGGAACCAAGGCCACGATGATAAACTAGAAGAAGAGGGGGATAGTGCGAACTATTTCGTCTAATGCCAAAATACGGAAATAAAAACAAAACAAACAAGTAACAAAAAAAAGGACTATACAGAATACTTATCAGTTCCTAATGGCTAGAACAAGGGAGTACTTTAGATTTCCCTCGTTTCGTAGCAGCCAATCGGCATCTGGTTGATGAGGGCAATAATGATGATGATGATGAAAATGATGATGAAACTTTAAATTTTTCGTGCTATAATTCATGCAATACCTTGAATTATTTTTTCCTTGTGAGGATCAATACACCAATTCTTATTAATTCTGATTCCATAGATAACTACTTCTACTTAGAAAACTGCTGAAGGACCAGTCATTATTCATTGCCTGGAAGAAAACGAGGATTTTATTTGGGGGGGGGGGAATCACAGGGTAAATAATGACTAAAGCAACTTTCCTTCTTTCGAAAAGAACGGTGCATCTAGGTAGTGAGATGCATATATAAACTAAATATGGCTTAGTTCATAGAGCTAGTTTTTCGAACAAAACAAAAGTCACACCTTTTCTTAGCTCTATGCCTCAAATCTAATAGGAAGATCAAAAGAACAACAATAACATTAATGAAACGAAAGTTGATATTTCAATATCAATAAAATGAATTGTCACCGGCTACAAATTGCGATAATGAAGTTATGTTGTCATGTGGATTCAGGAGCATAGTTTTCCTTTAAATAATTAAGCGCAGTTTAGCGGAAGTTCGTGAACGCAAAACCAAAGTATTCACATCTGCCCATCAGAGGAAAGAATAATAAGTAAATCCTTTAAAATGATTGGATTGAATGATTAATTCACCGTTTAACTGATGGAATAGCGAAGTAAATCAAAACAAACGCAATTCTGTATTTTTTTAGACAATTGATTGAAGTTCCATTGCAAGTTAGCATCATTGTATATATCGTCGAGATAATTTTGACTGCCAAACTGTATTCCGAAATAGATTGAAAATCGGAATTGAATGAAATTTTCCCCTTTCCATCCACTTATCCTGCAGTGACAAATTATGCGGAAAAGGAAATGACAGGTTATGATGATATGTTGTCGTTCAATTTATACTTGGGTCAAATTTTACCTTCCTTTGTTCTCGGTCATGTTAATGTATGATGATGTATGGTCATGTTAATGTTTGAAACAAAGGAAAATAAAATTTGAACCATGGATAAAATTGAACTACAACATATATATTACCTTTTTTGAGGGGTGTGTTCCGTCGGAGTGACCAAGCAATGCGCACTAGGATTACTAAAATGATGCACAGCACTGCCAGAGATGAAGATGAGATTAACATCACTAGGTCAGGTCCCTCGGCTGATGGAGAAACTAAAAACAAAGATTCATCAATACAGCTATAACTGTTGCAAAATGAGTTAAGACACGTCACCACCACATGAGATAATGGTTCACCATATGATCCAACATTATGTATCCCCCCATTCCTCCCTTCAGTGTCAGTGGTTAACCAGCTTCATCTACAAAACTTCGATGAACAACATTGAAACGAGGAGAGGGGACTGGATTTGGTTTCTTGCACTAAATTATTTCTTGGCCAACTAATGAAGTAGAGAAGTGTGCTCTTCGCTTAGGTGTCTCAACATTTTTTCAACTGGTTGTAGCTACACAAACGATACTAGCTCTATGTGGCTGCACGAAAATATTGCAGCTGAATGAAAACGGACCTTTACTTACTGTAGACTCAGTTTAACGTACACTTAATAAGTCTCATTCGACCTGCGACTGAAAATCAAATAAAGTAATGTTCGTCGTAGGTCGTCTCCAATTTTAGCATTTGCAGAAAAGCATTTTGTCAAGCTTATTTTCTGCGATAGCAGTGGTCGCTCCGTAGTAAATAATAATAGTTACTTAGCTGGCTTTAGCATCTAACTTGTGTCTGAGTGGCACAAGTTAGAATCCCGTCGAATTCAGAATTTTTTCAGATTTCATTTCTGCAATTGCTTCATTTGTAGCTCACCTTCCAGGATCATTGCTTTACTTCAAAAATCGGCTTGCTATGCATGCAAGAGTTATTTTTGTTTGAAGGATAGGTTGAGGTGCGACACTTACTATAAATGATGTTGTCATTTTTGTTAACGAAAAAAAAAAGCATAACTTTCAAAAGAACGAAACTGTCTCATTACTTTACGTTAACGTGAGTATGTGGGTAATTGTGACTAGTACCAATATAGAATATATTGGTAAATAAAATAAGGCATTGGGTGATAACAGCAATAGCTATGATGTAATTAAAAAAAAAATCAAGAAATCTCAGCATAATCGGCATAATCGATATTTTTAAATAAGTATTATCTTAATGAGATAGTTCAGTTGCAAAATTTTTGGACTCTCTGCGGTAACTAGATAAGTAAGTGTGTTAAAGAGCCTGTGAGGAGTTTGCTCTGACAAAAAGCTAACGCCTTAGATTTCAGCTTTAGATACTATTCACGCTGATCAGTTTTCATTATCCAACTCGGTTGATAAGATAAAATTATCTTTTACTCTTGATGGGTTGCTTTGAAATAGAACGGGCAGCCATGTTCTTGCTCTATATTGGGTAGATAAACGGTCCCTTACATAAATAATTATACGGAACTTTCCGTCTAACTCAGTCGTCATTCCTTCATCGCATCTTCACAAATTTGACTTCAGACAATGGGGGATTTTTGCCATTTGAACTGATATCCATGTGTTAAGTTCTCAAACTTTAAGAATTATCAACTTGATTGCAATACCCGCTTGCTAACGAGCGTAAGGGCTGTACTGAGGAATATTTGCCCAAAGTTGTGGAAGTACGGGCTGAGCGGAGCGAGGTACTAAAACGACCAAGGGCCAATATTCCGTAGCACGGCGTAAAAGTGTTTTAACGCATCAATCACATCTTACTTATCTTTTGAATTGAAATGGTTCAAAATTCTCCATACACTTTTTTAAGTCCTTCATTTTTCCCTTATAAGGAAAACCCTGCAGTTCACCAGTTTTCATCAGGAAATAGTTACCTCGTTATGCACTTTAAATACAGAGTGAAATACTTCAGTTGAAGTTGTCAAGATGACTTACCAGGTTCTTTCTTTGTTTTGAAATGTTTGGTATCCGCCTCACTATCACCTGCTGAGTTGACTGCAAAGAGTTTTACTTCATACTCTGACTCAGACTCAAGACCAGTAATTGCGGATCGAGTTTCTTGGATGTTTTCCCTCTTAGCCACTTTTGTGTTGTTATCTGAGGGTTTCTTGCGCCATTCCAGTGTGTATGTTAAGTTTGCACCACCACCGTTATAAGCTGGTTTTGTCCAGGTTACAATGAAGTCTACATAAACATTAATCTCTTTGTTTGTGATGGTAGCTTTTCCGGGCACACCTATGCATATAAATCAATTAAATTACCAACGGGAATAGGAAAAGTAACCCAAAACAAGCTTTAGAAGGGATGAAAATACATTTGGGACAGAATTAAAACTAATAATGCGAACAAAACTGGAACATAACAAAACACAAGTTTCAGACTTTTCCCTTGAAATAAATAACTTATTGTTCTGCGAGAACTTTTCGCATTTTCTGTTTGGAGTAGTATACTTGTAGATTTCCAATCTCTTATAACAATAGAAGTTAGAGGGGGCACATAATCGAATATAGTTTTTTTTGTTTGCAGGTAAGAGGGCCTATAACCGCGAGAGCTCAAAAGCGTCAGTTTACTGTTCTCCTTTCATTTCTTATTATACAATTTTACCCTGACTAGAAACGTGCTTGGCAATGGAGTTGGGACAGACAGATCCGCAGTGAGACATAGTCAGTTTGACAGAACTTATAAATGACTCTAAGAACCACTTCCAACAATTTAGGTGAAAACTGTGTAATTCACTTTAAATTTATAAATAAAAGCTAATTAGTGCAAGTCCAAATCATATTTTGCAACCCTTGAACCTACAGCACACAGACCTGTAAGCTTATTTAGAGTTAATTTACTCACAGAATTCGTTAGCTGTGATAAACAGTAACTCTTCATTTCCTGTTCCTGGCTCATTCCTCGCTTTTAGCCGCAATTCATAGCTAGTTTCTGGTTCAAATCGAAAACTGAACTTGTGCATCCACGCAGGCCAGTCAACATTTCTGATCTGAAGCACATTGCCATCTAACAATATTGTTATAACATAATTGATGATAGGCATGCCACCATTGTCCAATGGATGTTGCCAGGTAAGAGTGATGCTACCACAAGTTTCCTCTATCTTGACATCTCGGGGTGGGCCTGGTGGGCCTAAAAACCGAAAGTTTGGTAAGAGATAACATGTACACTTTATGCATGGATGGTTACGAATTTCACATAGCGAAGTGCTCATCTGCAAATAGCTTCATTTTATTTTAATTTATATTTTTTTTATCGATGACTCATCAATTGATTGGTTGGTTGGTTCAAAGTGGGTTAAGATTATGATTTCTTAAAACTTTCCTTTCTTCAGTAAACATTTTCACTCTGGGAACTGGATATCCATAGAAATTACATGTGACTGGTACAGGAATACTGTTTCCCGCAAAAGAGTAAACTGGAGTGGGCGAAGCATGCACGTTCATTTTTGGAATGGCTAAATCAAATTAGAAAAATGACGCAAGTTGTTTTATACACGATAAATGTAACTCATCAAACATGAAGGCATGAAGTAATCTGCTTTATTTCCATAGACGGAGGTCAATGACTCCTGACGTTTTTGTAAGCATTGTAGACAAAAGTGTTATTTTGATATCGTCACTGTGTTCCCTTTCCACCAATGAGTTGCTGTCTTATTGGAATCTGCTTTATCAAGATTCAAATCAATCGTGATGCACTTAACTAGACTTTGAAGGATCATTATCCACTTATCTAATGGGCAGGTGTTCGCCAAATGTATTCCATCATTATTCATACCACCTCAACGAATGACTTGTAAATCAAGTGGGGGAAGTACACAGTAATGGAGGGAATGCGTTACCAACAATAGAACTAGACTGTGATGGGGGGAATGCGCCGCCATCAGTGGCCTAGACTGTGATGGGGGAAACGCACTACCAACAGTGGAACTAAATTGAGAAGAGAATGTGTTACCGACAGAGGAAAAGGATTCTTGGCACTCGCATTTCAAGAAGTTCAAGAGCAATAAATTATTTCCACAGCAAGGATGTATTCGATCAATAACACCTCGTCAATAACTTTGTCATTTCTTGCAATTCTCTCTATTGGTGAAAGCAAATAAAAATAAAGACGAAAATTTTCCTTCAGTTACTAATAATTGCATTTGAACTTGGTAATAGTAAGTGTAACTTTTCTTCAGAACACATTTCTTGTCTTTGATGTCAAAACACTGTCTTTGCACTGCCTGTGTTCTTCGGGACCAGCATAGTATTTGTATAATTGATTATGCTTTCAATGCTGTGTGTTGATTGAACATCTTTGGGGACTTTATTCCTAGTGCACCATTTTGACTTACCAAACCATCAGGAGAGCAACCTAGCCATGGGTATTTAGGACTTACCAGAGGGATGACCCTGTTGCTTGGTGGTTTCTTCATACTTAGAAATTGCTTCAGGTGGACATTCCTAACCTAGCAGTACCTAGTTGAACGGCATAGCCTGCCACGAGTCTCCTATCGCTCAGTGATTTCATTGGGATCAGCTTTTGCGAAAAAACATCGCATCTGGCTGTGTCCAATTAGAAAATGCATTTTAATCTGTTGCTCGTGGAATATTTATTTATCAATTTTATCTGTATGCTGTAAATTTAAAATAAGGCAAAGTGGTGACATAGCAAAGCTAAACTAATGCGAAAGTCGCCGATTTCGGTTTATAAACGGATTCAAAATTTCTTCTTACTCTCATAAATGTCATTTGATCTTTATTGCAAGCTTTGTACTTGTGAACTCTTGCGGTTCAATTAGCTGTCAACTTTTGTGATTCATTCGCAGTTTCCAACAGATGTTAAAATTAAATGTCCATCTCTTTTAGTTTCTGTTTCTGCACCAGTTCAGTTTCTGACTTTCATAGCTTTAAATAAAATTTTTAAATTTAAGCAAATGTTTTATTTCACTAGTTTTTTCCTGTTGTTTTCCTAAGAATTGAATGTATTGAGTAGCAAATTCCATTCCATGATCAAAACTATCTATAGCTACCAAAAGTTTTTGCTTAAAAAGAAATGAATGAAGCGCGGCGGATTTCCATTAGAAAACTATCGTATACAACTCATACACAATTCGTATATAAATTCGTCACGGCTCTTCCGTAACAGCATAATCGCAAAGACCATTGGCAATAAGAGTAAATATTTTGGTCATTTGGAAGTAATGAACCGAAGATGACAGAAGTTTCTGTCAAAACATGTTTTAAAGACTCAAAGGTTTTGTTGATTTCTTTAAATTCTTGACTTGCCTGCTAATTTCAAGACACTTTCGAAACATTATTATAATTTTAATTGTAGTTATGTTTTGTTGACAACTGTCTAGTAGAGAACCACCATAACAGTTGAGATTCTTGCTAACAATTGGTTCGAACAACGCGGCACACTTACCTGCACGAGTAACAGTCATCGAGCACAGGGCTCCGATCAAAAGCAGAATCTTCACCATCGCCGCTTCACGGACCCGGTGGAACTTAAACACAAGAGCACAAGAAACCGTTAGATATTCGAAGAGGTGCTAAGTTAGTCAACAGAGCCCACGAGAGCACTGTTTCCCTATAGTGCACAATGCACCTTATCACTGGAAACGTTCGAATATAATGGGTCGTGCAAACGCTGTTTGATTGGGCAAACTGTTGTACTAAAATCTGTACGGGCACGCTAATGCGTTTTTTAATTGTGAAATGATTTTTGAATGACAAGTTACTGAATTTTGTATATCAAATGAAGTGGGCATGACCTAGTTAGAATCAAATGTTTCTTAAATGAAAATCAAAAGAGAGAATCATCCTTTGCATTTTATATTACCACAACCTAAGGAAACCAGTTACACAATCTTTGCCGAAAGACAAGTTGAATACCCAATATTAATACTGAAAGACTTAAAAATTCCTTTATAAATGGATTAATTTTTATATACAATCTTTTATAAACAAACAGCAAGATTTATTTTTTGATATATGCATATTTCAGCGCACAGCACGTTTGTAACTCAGAGACTTATTGTTATTATATATTTAAGACTTATTATTATCAATATGTTCCCTTGAAAATCTTGACTCCCTTATAAAGTCAGACTGGTTTTGATTAGATCCAAGACATGATGGCGATTGTGCGCTGATTGCAACTGGCTCTGAATGATCAGATTTAGCACTTCTGTAAATATAGGCATTTCTTGGTCATTTTGCCTGGCATTTTATTACTAGCTTTGGGTAGCTTGCGATTATCTGGTAACTCAGAAAATTTTGCACGTTGACTTTGAGCATGTGATGCAATTTGCATCTTAACTGTGTATTTCTGAGGATAATGGGTGGGACTGTGCATCAAGAAAACCCTGATACAATTGCGATAGAAACTGAAATGAAATGAGCAAAAAGATTTACCTCCAAGAGGTAAAATAATCGGTAAAAGGTTGTCATTAAGTTTATGTAACTTTCGGGATTAAGTGTGACATGCTCTCCTAAGTCTGTTGTGGAGCGAAAGGGGGTTTGTAAACGTATATCTTGTTAAAAAATTACGAAGCTATTCGAGACTCAACAACAACAATGATCGAGGCCGCGCGAACAAAAAAGCCCCCCGGAGGGAACTCAACTTTTGATCTGACGCCAGTATTATTTGTAGTACTTTCTCACGTTAGGAAAATCCCAGACGAACTACGATTTCCTGTTTTCCAGTTTCAGATCTGTCCGATATATTGGGTGTTCATCATATGTTTGTGAAAGAGATTATAAATTGAGAGATCTTATCACCATGACACATGATAATTTTTAAAATCTTTTTTAAATTTCGCAACACGCTAGGAAGTAATTCTTATTACTAGCTTCCATGATCATGCCGTCAACGATCTCGATGTCATAAGTTGCCTAGGTTTCCGGCGTTCAAGTTTTGGATCGTTTTTTAAAAAACTGTACTTGTTCTCTTTCTCGAAACAAATCTATAAATGCTTGGCTCAACATTCGAATACTTTTCTTTATTTATGCATCAATAAAAAAAAAAAATGGTGCCTAATGGTAGCTCCGGCTGGCTGAATGTTTGCCATTATATTGAAGTCTTCAATTTCTCGCAAACGGGTAGGGGTTCATGTAAACAAAGTCATCTACTAAACTCTTTAGCGATTCATAAAAGTAATAAGCTATAAAGGTAACCGAAATTAGCCGGCTAGAAGCTGGTCAATATCTCTTTGTAAAAATGAAAAGTTCGAAATCAGTGTTTCAGCAACGAGATCAAACTGTTCCTCTCTCCGTAAGTTGATTTTTAAATTCAAATGCCCCGGAAATCGCCCTTGCTTCTTAAGTGGATGTTTTAATATAAATTCAAATTGATTCTCCAGTTCTCAAAATAAAATGATACACTATTCAAACATCACTAAAATGCGCCGGAAATCGCCCTTGCTACTTAAGCGGATGTTTTTAATATAAATTCAAATTGATTCTCCAGTTCTCAAAATAAAATAATACACTATTCAAACACTAAACTTTATAAATTTGTTAGCACACAAATGCGTGAATCGATAAGAAATCGCGCCTAACCGTAGCTCAGGCTACAACCTCGGACAAAGCCTGTTGAGACACATTACAAAAATACCTATTTTTTGCACTCACCCTGACAAAAATGCTTACCGTCGCAAATTCAAAGATTGTTTCCTCCCTCCCCTTTTGCAATGTTGTTTGCGGTAACACAAGAAATGCATGCTTGAGCTGTTAAGCCCCAACAACATTGTACCAGGGGTGGGGAGGGGGGCAAGTTTGTTCCTTTTGGAAACGATTGTTGCATGGCGGGAAATTAAAAATTGCATTGAAATGTCTCAACAGTTTTGTCCGGGGTTGCAGCTCACCATCAGAAAGTTTGTATTGACGTTTTCATTTTCTCTCAAATCATAGGAGCTCTTGTGAATAGTAATCCGCTATTAATTCTCTCAGTACCAAATTATAAAGCTAAAATGTCATATAGCTAATTAAGAATAGAGGTCAACTCTCAACGGCACTTCACTTAAAAAAAATTAAAAAATCATCAAGATCGAGCGGGTTCGCATGCTGTATTCTGAAAGATTGTCATGTCGCACTTGGAATCACTATTGCCACTTAATCGATAACTTATGAAGTAATTTACCTGAATCGACCTTTGCAAGGGTATTCAGTTTGTCCATTCAAATCCTTGATGAAACTCAGGCCTCTAGAGTAGAGACTGAGGTTACGTTTTCTCACTACAAACTTTCAGTAGTCGTGACATAAAGTTTAAAAGCACGAAGCAAGGTCATGAAGGAGAAGTCCGAAGGAATGCGGCCGTACCAGTGAGCCATGACACGAAATAAATACAGCTAAAGTGGAAAACAAAGTATTCACATGTATCATCTCTTACAATTTGGGATAAATCAGTGGTCGTAAATTTTTCAAAGCCCACAAATTGCACTCACCCTACAGACTCGTACAATTTGGTAGCCTTTAATCCGCCGTAAGGCTTAAATTTGTCGCGCCGTAAAATCAGTGAAAGAGCTCGACTTAAGTTCTCAAAAAATCCTTGTAAAGAAACGAAAGCTCCTATTTTCTATCCTTCAGGGAAATAACAAATACGAATTGGTTGGGAATTTCATTAGAAAATGTCCCGAAAGTCTTATTTACATGGGAAGGAAAATATCAAGTGATTGCAATCAGGATAGCTTAGTATTTAGTAATTGGGAGTACATTACAATTCTGTGTAATGGATGTTATTTAAAGTTATACACACATTTTTTCCGATTTTAAGCATTCTCATTACTTGCTGGTTATTTTGTCGAGGCCTCAGTAGTAGCATACGCGAAAAAAAAATTATAATAAATATATTTGCTCCGACGAAGGGCTAACGCTCGAAACGTCAGCTTTTGTAATCATTACGGTGGCCAATTTACCATTTCAACTTTGTTGATATATCCAAATTATTTCGTTACTCCCACCGACGCAGCCCCAAACAGTTTCTTTCGAAACTATCAGCCTTTATTCATTTATCTTATTATACGCTACGTTGTGTAGTATCGCTGAGTATTTTTACGAGTTGTGCTGTATTTTGACGAGCCCGTTGGGCTTGCCTATGCCGCATGAGTTCTAAACGCGATGCATTTCGTACCTAATTGGCTTGTGAGACGAATCAACTTAACAAAGCACGGGACGAGTAGACCCATACGAATTGTGTCGATTCGTCAAAATTTACCACAGTTTCTTTAGAAACTTGCCCCCTTTATTGAGGTATGCATACCCTGTTCATTTTGTCGAGGCCTCGGTGAAAATTCGGATCTACGTAGAGACAGAANAATGACAAGGACACATCGAAACCAGTCGCTAGACATTTTAATTTACCTAATCATTCTAAGCAACATATGGCAATCTGCGGTCTTTCCTTGCACTTAGGTGGCACGGAAAGCCGTAAAAATCTTGAACAAAAGCTCATCTTTCAAACCGGCAGTCTAAATCCCACAGGGATCAATGAACGCTTTTCATTCCACTAATTTATTCATGTTTTTCTCGTTGCCATGCACCCACCAATAACGTAGCTCCATTTTCTGCCTTTAAAAGCACACACAACCCACAATTCCTCTATTCGCTCCGACGAAGGGCTAACGCTCGAAACGTCAGCTTTTGTAATCATTACGGTGGCCAATTTACCATTTCAACTTTGTTGATATATCCAAATTATTTCGTTACTCCCACCGACGCAGCCCCAAACAGTTTCTTTCGAAACTATCAGCCTTTATTCATTTATCTTATTATACGCTACGTTGTGTAGTATCGCTGAGTATTTTTACGAGTTGTGCTGTATTTTGACGAGCCCGTTGGGCTTGCCTATGCCGCATGAGTTCTAAACGCGATGCATTTCGTACCTAATTGGCTTGTGAGACGAATCAACTTAACCAAGCACGGGACGAGTCAACTTAACAAAGCACGGGACGAGTCAACTTAACAAAGCACGGGACGAGTCAACTTAACAAAGCACGGGACGAGTCAACTTAACCAAGCACGGGACGAGTCAACTTAACCAAGCACGGGACGAGTCAACTTAACAAAGCACGGGACGAGTCAACTTAACAAAGCACGGGACGAGTAGACCCATACGAATTGTGTCGATTCGTCAAAATTTACCACAGTTTCTTTAGAAACTTGCCCCCTTTATTCAGGTATGCATACCCTGTTCATTTTGTCGAGGCCTCGGTGAAAATTCGGATCTACGTAGAGACAGAAAACAACTATGGTAAAGGAAAATTTTTAGGCATGAGCAGAAGTGGTATGAAATAGTAATTAAGAATTCAAAAATAAATTCTCAAGTATGTGTTTAATCGAGCTGGAAAAGCTGGGTAGGCATTAGAGATCGTAAGAAAAACAAACACCTGAAACAAACACAAAAGGGAAGCGAATATATTTCAAAGAGAAACGTTTGGCGATTTCTTGATTTTAGTTTATATTGAACCTACATTTTTTTCTAGTCTTTCAATTACAACAGAGATGACAATCCCCTTCTATTATGTGAAACTTAGGAGTAAAATGTAAGAATCATAAAAAATCAGCATACAAATAAAAGAGTTTAAAAACGAATGAGACTATAACAAGCATAATGATATGTTAAAATTGTATAATTACAAACAATCGAAATCTTTGGGCCGGTTATTTAAACAAAGTTAAGCCATTGTTTTTCAAAACTGCGATCTAAACTATCTTAAAGTTGGCTGAATCTTTTATCTCGGCTGAAAATTCATTTAGTAACCAGTTTCAAGAGGGCCGAAAGCTAGCAACGGAAGGGGATTTTTCTCATGAAAACAACCTCCTTCTTGAGAATACGTAAGACCCACTGTTTGCATAAAACCGCGGTTTGGGCAAGACCGGCCCTTAAGTTAAAAGAATAGTCTTAAATAATAACTTCGCACGGATTGAGTAACACTGTTTGTTTAGCTGTGGTTTCAGTCCTCAAAGGATCGGCGATCGGAGATCATCTCAGAAAGGGGCATGACATGGAACCGGGAAATATCATGCGAAGTTTTAATATATCAAGAAAGTGCCAGAACAAACTTGATTGTCTTATTTTTGAAATGCTCTTTGTCAAGGAACTGAAACCACTGTTAAACAGACAGTGCGACTCAAACCCCTCGAAGCTATTTTTTTACTATTCTTTCACCTCAAATATTTTGGTGGCTTGTAATAGGCCATTTTACAGTTGTGTACTTAGTTGCCCAGCCTTTGATTTGGAGTGAGGCTGAAGGTGACCTTGTTGTGATAGGGACCAGTATCTAGTAAGCACGATAATGTCATCTACATTTGAAAAGCTGCAAGTTTGTATCATAACAAGGTCACCCTTAGCCTCACTCTCGTCCAAAGGCTTGGCAACCACACACCCAACCATAAAATGGACTGTTATGTAATTTTCCCACGCCTTCGTGCTTTTTGCGTTCTCATCCGTTTTTAAAACATCATATTCTCTTGACAATTCTTTATAACTTATTATCTTTTAACAGAACCTGAAAACGAGATCTGACAGGTTGAACGTCGTTCCTTTGTATCGATAGTTTTTACTACCAAGTTTACATCAAAGAAACTTCTACCAATACATTATGTTTCACATCATTGATAAAGTAAGAGGAAAGGTTTGAAGTTAATGTGTATAAATAAGAAAATGGTCTTTTTCCAAGTAAGGAACTAATTATACCTGAATATTTGGAAACAGTGAATGAAGCTGGAGGTTACAACTTCTTGTTTTTCTCTTTACCTCTAAAGCACAGTTCAAGCCTCTACTACCTGTGTAAGCAAGGACTAAAGAGAAAAAAATGCATCAAGAATAACTAAATCAAGTTACGTGACTAAGAATAGCTCAATGACACAATCTCTTTGTATTCCGTAAAAACCCTGTCACACCTTAACTTAGGGAACAGAAGAGGGCCAAATGGAAGGTGAGTTTAAGGCTTTTCATATCGCCACACTTGTCTAGCGTATGTTCAGCTATTCAAATAATCCACTAAAAGAGAAATCAAAGAAAGTCATTGATAAATTAGCAAAACTATGTCGATGATAATTCTTTTGATTTCATTCAAATTTGAGTTAAATGAATTGTATTCCGGCTATGATTGCTCCAATTAAAAATAAATTCTGTAGACTTCGTTGCCATTTCACTTCAACAACAAACTATTTTCTCTTCATCCGTTTGGTAAGCGTCGCTTTTCTTCTTCCATAAGTCATTGTAATCATAGTCCCCCTTACGATTTCTGTAATTGAATGATATACCTTCACAAACCAACTCTTTAGTCACATTTGGCGGTTGTAATTCGCCAACCAGGTTGTCGGAAAAATTCAAAGGATGGGCCACGTCTGAGATGACAGTCTGCGCAGATTGCTCCAACGAGGTATGAAAACACCCATAACAGCTAGATGATGATAATTATCCGATATGAAGAGTAAGATGTATTTGTGTTTTACTTTTCCTTAAGCATCAGCCCAAGAAACGTGGCGTGAGAACAGGAAGGAAATGAATACAAGCATGAGAAAGCTAAACAGACCGAAAAGGTCAGTAAGCTTCTCTGCCCGGCTGACTCTGAATAGACAGTACAGCACGCTTGTGTCTCGTTCGTCTCCACAATCGCATATTGAAACTTGAACTTATCTAACGACTACAATCCCGCAATAAAATCGTCAAAAGAACGTCACGAATTCTCATTCTCATGGATAGCTGATTCTTCAGCCGACGCACTTTGTAACCATGGATACGACTGTCCCGGAGGTGGAAACTGTGGAATCTGTCCCTTACCGGGGTAGGGTGGTGGCGATTCTAGTGGGTATGGGTAATCTGGGGGTGGTATGTCTGCGTTCGTTGGGGCTTCGTTGGGAACGTAATCTACTGGAGGTGTTGTGGTGTCAAAAGGTTCGGACTGAGTACGGCGTGATACTGGAGCCATTCGAATTCTCTCCGCTGCTTCTCGGTTTCTTCTTTTACTTCGTTTCGCCAAACAAACGAGAAGGCAAATCAGTGCAACAAACAATATTACACTTACAATAACGGCTGTCACCAACGTACGTGACTCTAAAGGGAAAAAGAGAGGCAAAAGTCAAGTAAGCAGAGTTTACTGAAGCTCAACCTCGTTCCCAGCGCCTTTTCCTAACTAAGGGAAAAGGCCCTGAGAACGAGATTCACTCAAGCTTAGAGTCGTTTTCAGGAGGCGTTGTGAAGATAGCGGAGTTGTTTGTTACATGATATGTGCTACAACAAATTAAGCATTTAATTTTTAAAACAAAGATAGACAAGAAATAATTAATTTGAACCTGAACTTGATATGGCCTTGAAGGTGGCTTTAAATCCACTGTGTGGTTTTCTGCCTACATAATCCGCGTCAGAGTAGAACTGAACCCACATATACCGATTACGGTGACTTGAACTAACGGCTTTGGGAATCGTAGTTCCACAATATCTTCCCAAAGATTTGTCAGAGAAGGGCAATCCATCTCCAACTTCCACATAATCTCTGCAGCCTTCAGGATCCAACTGAAATCTCTCGAAACTGAGTTCAATACTATGTTCTTCGGGTACAGTGATGAGCCATTCACAAAATAAACTCGGTGGGTAGTGGGTCAAAGGACTCTCTAGAATCCCTTCTGAACCGGTCAATCTCAAATCATAGTTGTGGACGTTTCCCGGGTAACATAACTCGTAGGAATTTACAGCTTTAGTTTTCGCTACGGAGTCAAATAACGGAAGACAATATTTAGTAAATTCCTTAAGGTTGGCTACGGGGAGTTTAAGATGGGGCTGTTGCACAGAGCCTATCAAAATCTGACATGAAAAAAAGCAAATGTTTATGGCCAGATGGAGGCTTAAAGACATCGAGAAGCCATGGTTGGCATGTTAAGACAATTTTTTTCAAGAACATTATTTAATAGTTGTGAATAACACACCGGCGTGTAGATCACCGCCAAGTTCAAAAGCCGTTGAGATTGTGTCAGTTATCGAGTCCATTCTACAAGTCTCTTTAAGTTATCACTTAGAAATTACTGAGCATAAAATATCACAGGAATGGTCAATGGTGTCGAAAATATTTCCAAATGTCATTCGTCTTGCCTTATTATGCCCTGCTATTGGTCATGAAATATCGCGCCTTTTTCTGAACCAGTCGGGTGCAAAAGTAATTCCCAGGCTTGAGATCTTTTACACAAGAATATATCTACATTTACAAAGAATAACATGTACTTTTATCTTATTTCTGATTTGCCTCTGTGACTACATGAACTTTGGTTCTGCACTCGGGACACTCAATTAAAAGGCTCTCTCTGATTCAACACCATTCTCGTCTTATTTACCACACCTATACTGCTGTCGTTCCCGAATGGGTCGTTCTTCTCTTCTCCACAAACCCTTACCCGCGTATGTCGTATGCATGTATGTGTCTGTCTTTCCGTCCAAGTTAGTCAGTAGGTGAAAAGAAAGTGACGAAGTAGGAGTTTTCTCTAAATAGCGTAGCACGTAACAGTTTTGTTTAACCACTCTGTTTCAATCGTGATAATAACCTAAGGGCATGGTCAAACAACACCCTGTGTTGCCTTGAACTTGCCCTTCCTACGGCCTAATTTTAAAATTTATTTTAGACAAAATTTCATCGGTTGATCAGAAACGAGGGATGTTACGAATAACCGGCAAGGTGCTTGACGGGAAGAAACCGACTTACCATAAAACGAATAAATGAGAATGCTTCCACTTACGTGGGTCATGAAGCGCTGTAAATGTTGCTTTCAATCCCCTGAAAGATGATCTGATTGGACCAGACCTAAAAAGCACCCTCATGTACCGACCGGTAGAGGAGATTTCCTTTGGTGCATTGGAACCGCACATTTTCCCTTCGCTGTCACCATAGATGTCTTCCCCATCTACAACTTCTACATAATCTGCATCACATCTTCCTGACATGTCAGTTTGAACCAATTGAAAGGTGTCAAAGCTGAGTTTTGCATAGTACCCTTCTGGGACAGCAATGAGCCAGTTACAGCTAGAGTGAGAGAGATACCCTTCGCCACCTGTTGGGCTTTGAAGAGTTCCATTGTAACCGGATAATTTCAGATTGTTGTTGTAAATGTTGCCCGGAAAACATGTCTGCTCGGAACTTACAGCTGAGGAGAAAGATGCATCACATAAATTTACTCACCATTTTACGGGAAAATGTTTGGCAGGCTATCCACATATTCTAAACCCTTTTGAGTTTCAACATACTCTATATGAATGTTAGGGTCCGAATGGCGACTCAAAGGTGATGAAGTATTACACTTTTGTCAGTGATTCAAGCTATTCACCACATATTTAATAAATTCAAAGTAAAAAGGGAGACTGATATAAAGATACACTGGAAACATTCTTCGTCCAGGGACATGGTCTAGATTCAGTTATAAATAAAAAGTTCGTGAACAACCAAGCTTTTATGTCTTTTGTCACGGTATAGTTTAACCGACAGAAAGAACACTATACTCCTAAAAACTCAACCAATTTATCAAACAACGTGTAATGGTTTTTACTAAGAAGCGACTCTTATAGGCAATAAAATGATTATCTTCTACAAACAGCCCTCTTAAGAGTATAACTTAGTTTACTACTGACACAAGCTCACTGCTGCCTCCAAATCTTCTATATATGAACAATTTTCCACTGTAGCTCTCTCTCGTTCGGTCGGTCGATCGGTCACTGCTAGCAACAATCACTACTACTACACGACTGAGTCCTTACATTACGTAGTATTCTGGAATATTTCAGAAGCTTACAACACATTTTGGTAGTCTTACATCATAACTACATGACCTAATAGAATGTTCTTGAAAGTTCCATGGTATGACAGTACGAAGTTCCTGTATGTATGTCAGCATAACTGGGCATTCCATACATTTCTAGAAACTTCTATGTACAATCACTATCCTAAAGATGTCATGATCGATAGTACTGCAAGCCTCTACCCCTTTCATTTACCAAGGATGGCTAACTTTGAAATTACCTTTTTAACCCCATAGTTGATGTGGATGACGCACCTGAGCGCCAGGCAAGCGAGGAACACCACGAAACCCCATCTGGCTTGTACTTTCTCCCGGCAGATTAAGAACACTGAACGAGCTTACGAACACGCTTTACGCCTTAAAAATCAATTGCATGTTGATAAATAAAATTATTATGTACTTACGCGGATCCACAGCCTCAAAATGTGCTTTAAATCCAGCATAATCCGAGGAGCCCTGATAGGAATGAAACTGTATCCGCATGTACTTCCGAGTCGAGTACACCGCTGACCCAGTACTAAACAAGTTGTAACCATGGTAAACAGCTAGCTCTTTACTCCACGACTTTCGCCCATCAAGTATTTGTACGTGGTCCTTCCGATCAATTTCAATCTTATCAAATATCAGCTTTACTCTTTTGTTAGCAGGAACGGAAATCACCCAAATGCAACTGGAATTAGTCGGATAAGGAACAGGGTAGAAAGGGGAAAAGAGCGAACCAGAGGAACCAGTGAGGCGATTACGCTTGGCATTCCCGTCTAGCGATTGGCATACTCCTAAGGCTTCCTCTGCAAATGAATACAACAAAAATAACGTTACAGCTCGATCTCAGACATTAATTTGCAATCCTTGTCGATCTTCACAAACCTTACTCATCCCTATTCAGGCTTAGTTTATTCTTAGGTTTGTGCTGCTCCCTTCCCACCCGACCTCCTGCCCAGAAAACAATTGATTAAGAGTCGAATGCTTCTATAGTGCGTTTTTCTTCTCTACCAAATGATCCAGAACATCGAAAAATTACTCTTTTCACTGACCATGACGTTCTGAAGAATACTATCAGACTTTCCCTAAGCCCTACTTATTTATATATATATCTTATTAACCAAGCGCGAGGGCCGTACTGGGAGAATATCGGCCCGAAGTCTTGACAGTACGGACCAAGCGCAGGGAGGTCCGTACAAAAAAGACCGAGGGCCGA